GCTGTGTTCATGACGCTCAAAAGTTTAAAGATCTTCGACGCCTAACGAAACAACTCAGTGTCTCGCAAAAAAAAGAAGGTGTCCGCAAATAAACTCAGAGACTCTGTCACGGAAAACCCGAAACGTTTCTGGTCTTTCGTAAAATCGTTTAGGTCGGTCAAGCTCTTGACTGTTTGGATTCAAGCAAAGCATGCGGACCTGATGGGATACCTGGAAAACTTCTTAAGATGACGGCTAACATAATTGCACCATTTCTCTGTCATATAAATAATCTTTCTTTGTCCCAGGTTGTAGTTCCTGCTTGTTGGAAGCTCGCAAACGTTACACCTGTGTTCAAAAAAGACGATCCAACGCTCGTTTCTAACTTTAGATCTATTTCCCTATTATCTATCATATAATAACCACTATCCCCATCTATCACCACGTTTCTACCATCTACAGCATGGTTTCTTAAAAGGGGTAAATTTACGGTAACTCAACTACTCCACGTCTACCAAGAAATCCTAGATCACATAGCTGGTGGGAAAGAAGTTGATGCCATCCACCTGGTCCTGTCCAAGGCCTTTGATCGTGTTCAACATAACATGCTTCTGAACAAGCTTGAGCAACATGGCATATCAGGCTCGCTTCTTCAGTGGTTTCGTAGTTACCTGAGTGACAGATATCAGCGCGTTGCCTTGTATGGGGCTCTCTTAGACTGGCTACCCGTAACCTCTGGAGTCCCACAGGGATCCATCCTAGGACCCCTCCTGTTCCTAGTATACATCAACGACATGCCAGAATACGTAAGACATGGCTCGAGTATTGCATTATTTGCGGATGACTCTAAACTATATAGACCCTAATTAAACTCGACATCTCACCATCTGTTGCAATCGGACCTTTCAGGCATCTATAATTGGAGTAATGACTGGGGCGTCATGTTCAAGCCATCCAAGTGCAAAGTGATGCACATGTCTCGGAATTCGGGAAAAGGTCTGCCTCTCTGCTTCACTCCAATACCACCTGAACGACAAGCCCCTGGAAAGTGTGACACACATCTCTGACCTGGGTGTCATCGTATCTAAAGACCTCTCCTGTGCTAACCATATTGAAGACATACTGCACCAAGGTCAAGAAAACCCTTGGTCTAATTAAGCGGGTGTGTGCTAGAGACGTTGTGGATGCCAATACGCGGAAGCTTCTCTATTGTGCTGTCGTATACGACCTAAGTTTGAGCACGCGTCGTGTTTGTGGTCACCTTACTCGGCTAAACAACGTAATTTAATAGAGAACGTTCAACGCAGAGCAACGAAATTCATTCTGAACTACCAGCTCCTCGTGATGTTACCTACAGAGACAGACCAATATCCTTAAACATTCTCCGCGCCACTTGAAAACAGGCGTGAACTTTTATGACCTAACACTATTATACAAAATCAAATACAACCTTATTAATGTCACCTTTAGCCAATACCTTACACCTGCAACTAACCCCTATGCCACACGCAACTTCGACCCTAACAACTATAACAAAATCGTCTCCAATAATCAAGAATTCTTCCGACAATCCTATTTCCCGCGCACCGTCATTCTCTGGAACAATCTACCACCGAACATCAAAGCGGCCCATTCCCTACAGATCTTCAAGCACCATCTACACTCTTATTACAAAGCCAAACTGTTTACCTACATACCACCATAGATAATTATACTCTAAAATTCGTTGTACAGTATCCTATATGTTAAGTTGCATGTAATCTGTGATATGTTCGTTGCATAATTGTCTTAGTACGTCTCGTTATCCATTAATTGTTAAGGGGTCGAATGTCAATTGGAATTTAGTTTCTGTTTTCTTCTCCTGTCACAGTATTTTCTAGTTATTGTTATATCTCTATGTAAATGTATATCTTTTATGTGTGCGACAAAATGAATAAATAAATAAAATGAATAAATAAATAAATAAAAAATTTCTGCCATTTAGTCCACCATTTAAATTTGTTTTCAATTATAATGTTCTCTACTGTAGTAGGGTTTATTTTGCATATGAATAATCGTACCCATGTCCATGTCCATGATGCTTTAGAACATTTTAATCATTTTACTCATAGATGATTTTACTATTAATCTATAATAGTGCATGAAATTGCAATTGTGTTTTTATATATGATTAATTATCTCATACAATCTATTTTGCTATGCCTATATTTACATGCTGAGATTGAGTGGTGCTTTGAATCGATGCATATTTTTGTACGTCGGTTAACTATAAATCTATATATACAGAAAATTATAGGTGTCCCGAAAAGACAATCTTGCATGTTTGATTTTCGTAGTGCACGTATAAAATATATATAACGTGCTACACTACAGTATTATGCAGCTGTCGAAGAAATGCTCTTTACTAATTGAGATCCGAAGTTAGTTTAAGTTCACCATCCAGTAGACAAATACGCGACATTTCAAGAAAAAAATAAACAGATATTTCACAGCATACTCCCTATCAGGGCTTTTTAGTGACTGGTTACATTGAGAATAGATAGATAGAATCGGACTGGCGTGAAGCAGACCGAGGTAGACTTTGAGCTTACAAATGGCCCTTGAGCAGCCGCTATTAGTCCATACCTCATTAATGGTCTGCCCCCTGACATTAATGGTCTGCCCCAGCCGACTGTCATTGGTATGAGTGATTAATAATGTTCACCGGCATTTTCTTCAGCCGTCCATCTTTGCCGCGACGAGCGAAGGAAAAATTGGAAAAAAGCTTTTGGAAAACCGAGCATAAGTATATAGGTAATAGACATGAGGCTCCCTACAGTACAGTATATATCTACTATGTAATGTTTTCAACTGAAAACTGTTCAAAACGGCTACAAAACAAGCTCACCCTCCCCCCCTCCCCTAGCCGTAATACGTTTAGTCGGGCAGATAGAAGGAAAAAACTTACTATATCGTGGGACAATTCCATTTTGCCTTCATATTGTGCCCTGAAGGCTAATAAGTACGTTTCTGTATGTTGGCCGCGTTAAAATTTCTTGTGGGCTCCTGCCGACCGGTTTTTCTTCGAATTTTGTATTGAACTCTATTACAGTTAAAAATGTGAAATTTCTGATACATTTGTAATACAAATGTCTTACATCATTTGAGAGCTTGCAAGCTTGCAAAAAACTACATATAAAACATTTAAACGGTTACCCGGGATTTTTTTAAGTTCTTCTTTAGTTATGAGCTGTTGATGCGTGTTTTCAAACTAGTACCCAGGAGTTGCGAGATTTTGGCTTATTTTTCACATTTAAAACAGCAATAACTCGAAAATCGCTTGAAAATCCCAACTAACCATTTATTAAATGTCTTATATGTAGGTTTTTGTTAGCTTTCTATTGATGCAAGTCATTTGTATTAGAAATGTATCAGAAATTTCACATTTTTTAACTGTAATAGAGTTTAATACAAAATTCGAAGAAAAACGTGTCGGCAGGAGCCCACAAGAAATTTTAACGCGGCCAACATACAGAAACGTACTTACTAGTCTTCAGGGCACAATATGAAGGCTAAATGGAATTGTCCCACGATATAGTAAGTTTTCCATAATTTTGAGCCTCTATCTGCCTGACCGGTTAGTACGGCCCTGTTACCAGTCTTAGAAGTGATAGTTCAAATACGAGACATGTAGAGGACTTTATTGGGATTTCAAACTCCAAGAGCGTTTTGAAAAGGCAAGCCGCAGGCGAGTCTTTTTAATGCTCGAGGCAGGGACGGGGTCTTGAAAAAAAACGACGAATGAGCAACGTCTGTTGGGGCCCAGGCCCTGTGACGGATGGATCAAGTTTGGGGTGGGAGTATTACTGATCAAACATGAAACATTTCAGTCACTAATTAATCTTCTTTACCGAAATTGTTGGCGGGGGGAGGGGCTATACCGGGTTGAAGTGAAAATCGGTCGGGATAGCGGGATTTCGGAACCCGGTACAGCTAGCTAGCTAGGCCCCTCTGGGAATGGGACATACCATTTTTCAGTAACTTTCGAATTAATGCACCGTAATTTGTTAAATTTTTCGGTAATATTTTCGTAAATTTAAATTTTTAAAATATAAATTGTAATATCTTTAATCTTGATTTTCGAAATTAAATTAAACTATATATTTTTATCTTAGTTTTTCCAATGTTTCAATTTTAGGGACCCATGATGGCAGGGGCCCACAACAAGTTCTCGTCCCTAGCCAGCATGTCCCTGGCCATGACTACTCAAAGTGCAATTTTTTATGCATGAATATTTTTACTTGAAAATTATATGCTACAGATTGTTGTAAGCGAGAGTGCGAGACATGGCAGAGAACGATAGAACGGTTTCATGTAATCCTAATAAACGTTCCCGACCAGCTCGTATATAGTCGTGGATGAATAATGGCTACAATTTTGGCCACAGCCGTATACCGAAGACAACCGAGTATAAAAAGAGATGGACGGTTAATTTTTTTGAGGCCGAATGGGAACCGCCGGAACAAGACAATACGAGTTCTTCTCAAGAATACAGCAGCGCCGCTTCAACTAATGGAGGTTGAAAGAGTCGAGAATTTGAATACATCGCTTCAGTTAATAAAGGCAGAATCGATAAACTTTTGGTTAACAAAGTTTGTTAATTTTTAAGAAAGTGCCGGAGACCAAAAAGGACAGAGATATCGTGGAAAGACGTTATATCAGATCATTGCTGCTCTGGACTGAAGTGATATTTGGCTAACAAAGGGCGGACAGAAATAAATCTCTTAACCTTAGCAAGACTGATACCCGGTAGGCAGCATTTTGTATATATTAAAGATGTATTTTGATTACTTTGTTTGACTAAAATAGCATTTAATTTGTACTGCTTGCCTATAATGTTTGGTGGACTTCGTCAAATTTTAGATGCTGCAGAGATGAAAGACGTCCATCGAGAAGGAATTCAGAATTCATTCAAAAACATAATAAATTATTGTTTATAATGCACGTGTTTTGAAACTGGAAGAAACTAAACAGGTGGCGGATTTGAAATCTCCCAGGGGACAGCGGGGCTGATTAAATATTCATTTTCAAACTGCTAGTAGTTTGAAATTTTCAATTAAGGTACTAGCACCTTGAAATTTAAAGGTACTAGTATACCATAATTTTTTTCAAGGAACTAGTAGTTTGAAAATGAATATTTAATCAGCCCCGCTGTCCCCTGGGAGATTTCGAATCCCCCATCTGCTTTGAAGACAGTTTTCTTCCAGTTTCAAAACACTGATAAAACAATTTCTTTTGTTTTTGGTTCATGAATTCAATTAATGATTTGAGAAGCTTTCTTCCCATGTGTATATATATATATATATATATATATATATATATATATATATATATATATATATATATATATATATATATATATATATATATATATATATATTATATACACAAGATCTGGATATGAGGTATTCTGCAATCTGATTGGTTCTCTACTAGCAGGATATTGCTCATATCCTGCAAGTAGATAAAAACAAAATGGCGGCTTAAACCGAATTTCCGACGTTTTGCGAATGAGAAAATCAGAAAACGGCAAGTTGTTCGCTTTTTATAGTCTTTACATGATTAAAAACACAATGAAAACCTCCCACAAATTGTTTTTATCCAATGGATAGAATATTTATAGACATCGTACAACCGGTCCCAGTTGGTTACTGTATATAGAGCGCTACCAAAAGACATACTAAATTTAGTTACATTTTTCGTAACTGCTCCTAGCTCAGTGGTTAGGTCTTAATACTGAAATGTATAAAAATTTACACTCTTCATGTATATGGAAACCGAGGAAACGCTTTATTTTTCAAACTATAGGTAAAATTATTGTTACCAGACACTTGGGAAACAATTTTCTTACGTGCTATTTTATCAATTTCCGTTCGGTCAATTTGACATGCACATTAATTAGTAATTATTGTATTAATAATTATTAATGTTAGACAACAAATCCGCTCTTCTAGCACATAATTATAAGTGCAGAGAATGCATGTGAAGAATGTTCTTAGATGTTCATGCGGTTACCAGACATTATGTCGTGTTTTCAGTTGAAGGCACGCAATGCTAGCTCATGATCATTTGTTGATTACTTGATTTAGACTCTTTGTAGAAAATATGTATATGCAATATACATGCAGTATATAAGTTAAAGAAACGTTTCAGAATTTATAGCTTTTATCGTAATATTTGGCCAAACATTTGTCTCACTAAATTCGATCGAGTTTTACCCAGATTATGCCGATATCGCCACGGTCATTGACAAGTTATGTCAAACCATTTGGCATTTTGTAAGAGGTAAGACTAGGAATACATGCGTAAAGGAACCCTTGAGGGGAAAATTGAAATATTTTCACTGTAAAGTAAGGCCACATAAAATAAATTCCTTGATTCTCATCACTACACTTTGAAAATGTCGAAGAGGCGGGAGGTTTATATTTTATATTTTATATTTATATAATTTAATATCAATCAATAAATAAAAGTGTCACAAACTGAAATAAACATATTTCTCCACGAACAATGCTGGCCCTTGAACTGAATGCGAAGTTCCGTTAAAATGCAATGAAATTTCTTTCAAGGTTCTATTTGTTTGAAATTGGCAGTTTAAAATGGCACTAAAAACCCAATATAAAATATAAAAAACTTAACTGTCTTGAAATATTTTGTCGGGCGGTACATTTATATTGTATAACAAAATATAAATATATGAATGAGGATGAGAATCAAGGAATTTATTTTATGTGGCCTAATACAAGTTTTTATTGAATTTTACCAATATATACCTTGGCTATGGCGCCTCGTTTTCGTGATTGTGACTGAGTGACTGGAGTCGCAATTTCCTGAGTCTTGACTCGAGTCTGAAGTACGAAAAATGATTCGACTCGAGTCAACTCAGCCCGCTCAGGACTCTGTAACAAACATACTTGCAGGTTCGGTGACATGCAGTCCGGGATTGGACGCACGTCGAGTAGCAATACTGTACTCATCGAACTTGCAAATATGTTTAGTTTCAGTATCACTCTCTCCCTTGCAGAGGCTTACATGAAGTTTCTAGTGAGGGGAAAATGAGCGCGTACACGGCAAAAAAACGCTCAGGTTGATGCAATACTGATGAAAACAGGATTGAACAATGTTTTGCTGCCCACATTGTTCATAGCTGTCAACAACATTGAACAATATTGTTACACCCGATTCAGGCTCAACAACATTGTTCAATATTGTTGACAAGTGTGAACAACGTGGGCAGCAAAACATTGTTCAGTCCTGTTGAGCAACGGTCTCGGCGTTTTTTGCCGTGTAAGGAGTGATGTGAAGAGCGAAATAAAGCTTCCCATCACACCGCGCGCGCTCACTTTTATTCACAAAACTTCATGTAAGTTATTTGTAAATACTTAAGGAGGCCCTGCGGAGGAGAGTTTTTATCATATGCCATTTCGGTAAAAAGTACTGATAAATTTACGCATTTTACGGTATATAATTTCTTGTTTGGATAAAAACATCAATAGCCGCCAACATACTACGCAAACAAACAAACTTAGGCTTAAATTGAAGCTAAAAAAATTCTCTACAATATTCCAAGATTTATATAAACCTGCCCGTGCCGAACAAATTTCGATGGCCATCTTTCTTCTCTTCCACTCCAGAATACAGAATCAGTATATTTTCATCAAACAAAATAAAATAACAAACAGATAAGATTTTATCGTTGTCTGTTCAGCTATATATACACAAGATGACGTCATAATGTGGGAAGAACGAAAGAGTGGCGTGCGGCCGCCGAGGCGAGTGGGTCACTTTTTTCGATAGTTTCCGCACATTATGATGTCATACTGCCTGTGTATCTATAACTGAACAGACAACGGCAAAATCTTATCTATTTGTTTTATATAATAAAAAACCCAGAATTAAACAGATAAATAACTTACTTTTTATTCAAACATTTGGAAATTTGAAAAAGTCGAAATTTTACGAACATCACGCGCACGTGATCTAGACTGGGAATGCTATTGGATAAGGTTTTGTGTGACGTAATTCCGTGCGTCTGTCCTCTAATAGATCATGGCTCTCGACCAATGAAAGCGCTTGAATTCTTAACGTTATTATGTAATAATAATTATAAAACAATTAATTTATTTTTTATTTAAATCTTCATCTGAAATTTTTTCAAATCGCTTCATAATGGCCGCCGCCGAAAACACCGATCTCGAACACCCCTCCTCAGTAATGGAGGCAATAAAAAATTTTCTCAACTCGACTCGTGACTCGACCTTAAGCCCTGATTCCACGAACGCTTTTTGTCAGCGAAATGCGAAATATTTCGCCTGTTTCTTTTGAATTGTGAGCAATCAAGTAGAAATAATTTATTCGAGTGGTCGCAATTCAAAGAAACAGGCGAAATATTTCGCATTTCGCTGACAAAAAGCGCTCGTGGAATCAGGCCTTTAGGCCATAGCTCGACTCGTGACTCGACCTGTTGGTGACTCGTTTAGAACACTGAATTTATAAGTAAATATCAAGATTTTTGTGGCATCTCACTCAAATGAATAATATTTGATGGGTATTGTAGATGGAAATTTATAACCTTATTTGGGTTAACTTCATAATACTGGTTAAATTTCCTGGTTATGGTAAAGTTTTTCCTACGATAGTCTGATTGATTCGACTAGGACTTCCTTATTGAATTAACCAGAATATGCTAGGTGGATAAATAAGCAGGGACTCTGGAATATTAAGTTAACCCAAACAGTGTTATACTGATTCAGTCTTACCTAAGTTACCAGGAAGGTTTAATTAAATGCTACTGTGCATGCATGAATATTATATATCATACAACACCTCATTAAATTCTGGTCATTTCATTGACTAATTATGATCACGTGATGAAAATATTTACACCTCATGAAAATATTTTTACCATTGCACTAATGAAACATTCATTATTTGTATGATGTATACATAAAAAGTGGGTAAAAATAGAAAAATAATGGCGGCTGTATACGTAATTGACATGACGCCATCGCCATCGTAATTAAAAATAAAAAAGAATATGCTTTCATGAACACGTCATTTCTAGAAGGAAACGCGACAAATGCATTTTATCAAAGAGCATGTTATCTATATTGGCGTCATGGAATCATTAAAATAACATAAGCACACGATGATTATATTGGAGGTACCAACGATATCCCCTTAAAATGTTTAGTAAGATAATATTGTACAGATTTTGAACCCATGCATAGTCATCGTTTTAGAGCTACGAGCAGTCTAAAAGTATCAAAGTTCCAATCAGACTTTACTGCAAAACACTGCACGGTTGAACTTTTTGTACGTTTGTTACGTTTCAGGCAAACGTTATTGAAAATGTTAAGCCCAATCAGGATTACGACTGATTACAATTGCTAACATTACTTGGCTCATTGTGACTTTTAGTTAATATCATATGAGAGATTATTAGTCAAATTCATACGAGAGATTCTGATAGAATATCTAGTGCTGCTACATTAGTCTATATATTGGTGTACACCGACATATCACACAAAAATTGGTCTATATACATGCACGCGTTTTTTTAAACAACTTGGATGCTAACTTATATCCTATTTATAATGAACGATTGGATTTTTTTATTCGGTAATCGTTTTGAAAAGTTATGTTTTGGGAATATTCACTGAACTACATAATCTATTGATGTTTACAATCCTTATAAAATAATCAAAAAGGTTGAAGTGAACGCCCTTTATACGTTAATGATATTTATGCCATACACTTACCCACAAGTCGAAGCTATATGATTTATTGACTGTTTACATACAAATGCGTCACAATGATGATGTTGGAGACATGAAGTTATCTTCCGAATCTTTCAAATGTTTATTCAATATCATAAGATATATACGTATCACACGTATCTTTACCAGTAGACTCTAGTATCTGCCAGCGTCTGTTAACTTTGTTGCATATAGTTAACAAGGTAGAATTGTTTTTCGCCCACTGATAAAATAACATTTAAATTAACCTACTTGAATTATTTGACTAACCGCAAGACAATGACAATTGAAACAATATGGTCTCTTTGTACAGCATATAATTATGGAACTCCAGGTGCAATTATGCGTAACTTGTCATTTCCCAAGACTAATTAAGTACTAAAGTTATAAATCAGCAACATTTCTTTATTTATAGT